TGTATGATTCCAAACACAACAAGATGACATATAACACATTAGGCTGTATGATTCCAAGCACATAAGATGACATATAACACTTAGGCTGTATGATTCCAAGCACACAAGATGACATATAACACTTAGGCTGTATGATTCCAAGCACACAAGATGACATATAACACTTAGGCTGTATGATTCCAAGCACACAAGATGACAGTCAAAATCACACAATGTGATTTCAATCTTCTTCCACATATGATCTTTCAGCATTTTTTTTTTTTTTGGAAATGAGTAGAATTAGTTTGTTTCATTTGCTGATGAGGGTTAAGTTCAAGTACACTGTACATGTGTATTATTTATTTACACGTTAAATTGAAGCCTAAGAATAACGCACCACTATACTGAGTAGTTATAGTGCTGGTTGGAGAGATGACGATGGTATTCTGAGCAGGTCAAGTCAGGGCATTCTACAAAACATAAAACCCCAAGAGACACTGCTAAAGAAGTAGAATGCTATCAACATATTAACCCTTAATGCACAGCCATCATTCTGATTATACACAAAGATAGACTCCACAAAATTAAAGGCTCTGCAGGCAACTAACTACGTATGTTGTGTACAAGGTCACATAGTATAGTTATACAATGTATTTGTAATCAGTGTAACAGCATTGGTATTGTGGATATGTAATACTCTTTCTGACAGTTTGTCCAAAACATTTTAAACAAAAGTTTTATTTTTCACAAATAGTTTTTCCAACACAACCAATAAATGATTATACATTATACTGACAAATTCATTTTTTATATTTGAAAACAGACAACCTAAATTTGATAATCAACATTGCAAGTTTTATTTTTTAAGGTTTTAAGGAAGTGAAGATATCATGTGATTTTTTTTAGTTCTCTCTACTGAAAAAAAAAATATTTATTTTTATTTTCATCATATTAGTTTTTGACATAAACCAAACAAAATTTTATTTCTAAGGATGGAATATTATAAGCAGAGTGTACATGTATATCATGTATATATCCATCATTTGAAAGGCAGGTTTATCTTTATCTCCTACATTGTCTGATACGCAGAGTGCCTTACAGGAACCAGATGAGCTGATGAAAGATACTGAGTTTTGTTTTGTGGTATTTCATTCATGGTTGATCACAACGCAAAGTTCATAGAGAAGTCAGGGAAAGTGCATATACTGGTACAACAAAACACAAATGTCATGTCCCAGCTGGAACATAAAAAAAAAAATAATATACAACATTGTGCAAAGAATATCTTTATGTTTTATATGAGTATTTGTACAGCAATCTTTCTTAACCTTTTTACCACCAGTTCCCTCTATTCATCACAAATTCACAAAATAGTCCCTTTTATATCAGCAACATTTTTTGAGTAAAAAGGGAAAATTGACTCAAAATTTGTCTGTTGGCTTCAAAATTAGGGTTCATCTCCAGAAATATTAAGAATATAAGAAACATAGTGTAAAAAAAAAATTGGGCAAGAAAGTCTGGTGGCGAAAAGGTTAAACAGCCAAAGTTAGTCCACAATGGAAGCAACATATTTTTGAAATTTCAGGTATTTTAATAATTGCTTTGCATTTATAAGAAAATTATTATTCAATATTGAATATATTTTAAAACATATTACCCATTGAGCAGAAATCAACAAAAGAGCACACTGTAATAACATTTATCTTCATGTTTGTTATAGTTATTATGGAACTAAACAAAAATGCTTCAACCTGCTACATGTATGGAGAGTCATTATAATAAAAAGATGGTCACTCAGCCCTGTTACCGGGGTACTGGTCATCCAAAAAATTGGAAATACAAAAAAAAAAAAAATTGTACAGCATAGTTTAATTGCACATAGAGGTTCTGGAAAGGTGGTTGATAATATACTCATATCTGCTGTAGTGATGAGAAAATGCTGCTAACGCACATACATTACAAACAGAAAGCCCAAGATCAGTTCTCTTTACAGTCTGTACCTGACAGGCAACTGAAAAGAACATTGAAATTTGAATGTATTTATATCTACATTATTACCATTCACTTTAGCCTTGGAGAGTGCCTTATGTGACTGTTCTTCCTGCTGTTTCTTCGTCTGTGCCGTTTCATTTTTTTTCTTCTTGCCAGATGAGTTGTCTTTAGAAGCTCCGGTTCCCATGACAACAGGGCATTGTTGAGGTCCACACCGAGAAAAAGTATAACTTCAAAATTGTGCAGTCTGTAATTAAAGTATAAAGCAGATATTAGAAATGTGATAAAGGCCTGGATAATTCAACATTGAACGTTAACAAGTAACCAACATTGAACGTTAACAAGTAACCAACATTGAACGTTAACAAGTAACCAATCATGGGGAATTTCTCCAGGCCATACAGTTTAGTAAAAACCTAGTTACCATGGTTGCATGCCTGTGAACTGCATGTTCGCCCTGCAATGATGAATTACAGTACTGTAGGACTACTACTTCAACAAATGATGTCTCGCATTGACATGAATGTTTTATACACTGTGATATATTTAACTGACTGCTGAGATTTACTCAATCCTTGTACCTCCTGGGTGTTTTTATATTTGTTATTCATTCTAAAGACTCATTTCAGGCAAGCACTAAGAAAAATGCAAGTATTGAGAAGGATATGCAAATCAGGGATAGTTTTTTCAATATCAATATTAATATCAAAACCCACGTGGTTGTATAGTTATGACTGAAAACATTTGTTTGGTGACCTTGTGATATTGACCTTAGATGTTCACCAACTTTTTCACCACCAGCTCCCTCTTTTCATCACAAATTAGTCTCACTTATAGTCTGCACTTTCCTTCAAAAATAGCCAAAACCGAAGTCAGTAAAAACCAAAAATTGACTCAAATTTTGTCTGTTGGCTCCGAAATTGTGGTTCATTTCCAGAAATATTGAAGAAATTAAGAAAAAAATGCAAAAAAATTTGGACGACAAAATCTGGTGATGAATAGGTTAAAGTCTAACAAGGTGTCTAGTGGATCACATGGGTAATATGCGGAAAGTTTTGAAGCATTATCTTTTTTTATTTTTTAGAGTTCTATTGCGAATATATATATTTTTAGACATACATGTACACAAATACATTTGTTGTTCTGTCCATGTTAACTTTTCCTAAAAATTTAACCAGGTCTTGTGATTCGCATGTGTGTAAACTTCATTGGAGTTCTATTGCGAGCATACATTTTGACCATTTCCTTAAAATCTAACTGCATCTTGCAATTCTCATGGAGAACATAAATACATGCATACATATCAGGCATAAATTAGATTAGACATCTGTATAATCATATGCACACAGTGAATTTTCGACGTCCTTTCATAGTGTAATTACGGTTGTTGTCACAGAAAAATAATAATTTAATTATACATATAGAATGTATGACTACATTGTATGAATGAAATACATGTATCTGTAGAAAACATTCAAGACCAAATTACGAAATGCATTTTAGCGTATAGTTTTTAATTATTTGTTATTTGATTAATTATGTTTCCTCTTGAAGCTGATCATGAGGGAATTGTAGCAGACACTGAAACCAATAATAATCATTCAGAACTGAAAAAAAACATCCCAAAAAGACACAGGCAGCATGTCATATGTAGTAAAGCTTCTACTCAGGAATGAAAAAAACATGTTTGGATGCCGTAGTGCAATCATTTTCATCTCAGTTTCTATGGAGATCTTCCCCAAGTGATAGCCTTATAGCAGCATGTAATGAAACTGGGCACACGATTGCAGGCGAAATGCCAAGAACAGGAAATTGAACAAATTCTGACTTTGATATCAAATATGTTTTGGTTGGGTACTATATGCAAGCTATTTTCAACAAAGAAACAAACAAGTGAGTTCATCTCGATGAGTAGCTAAATGCTAAGTGTAACGAGCAGGTACATGTATGTCAAGCTGAACTAACCATTGGAATACTTTATCAGCAATAATAATACTTTGCCAAATATAGTAATGTTTTGGTTAAAAAGTTATGCAAAATAGTTTAGAATAACAAATGATGTTATCTAATAATAAAAATAAAATATGTTTTTTACGTGAACAATGATAATGATATAACTTGGACAACATACATCACAGTCTGATATGCAATGCATTATGGGAGAGTATAATGAGAAAATATTATTTTACTGGAAACTGTATGAATTTTATTATATATATTTAACAAGTTTTAACAGTATAAGGACTCGTATGTATTACCATAATAACAATATATGACTTTTTCAGCCCATATCAGTAAGTAACATTTTATGAAGAAATAATCTCTAAATTTTGAATAATTGTGCCGTGACCTCAATTTGTAGTTTTCGTTATCTTGACGGCATGAACCTATAATAAAAGTATGGCTAAAATAACATATACTCTTCAAACTTTAAAGCT